GAGACAAAACAGTGAGTTTCTAGTCTAATTAGAGAGGCAGACACTTAAAAATGCCAGTTATAATTTTAATGCCCAGTGAGGACTAAGTAGAAATACAAGTAGTATCTGGTGAGAGTTAGGGATGAGGAAAATGATGTAGAACAAAACTGCCTAATAGTACTTTCTATAGTGATTGAAATGTACTGTTTGTTACCCATTATGGTGGTCACTAGTCATACTTGAATGTGGCTAGTAAGACTGAAGAAGCAAATTTTTAATTAACTTAAAATTAAATAGCCATGTGTGGCTAGAGGCTACTGTACTGGACAGCATATATGTAGGTGATGTGATATTTTTCTATGGGATTGGAATCCTAGATTGTAAGAGTGGGGCTCTTGCATTTGTGTTTTAACCATAGTGTGATAATTTCTGAGAAGTTTTTAGATTTAAAATTGAGTTTTTTCAGGCAGGAATTTTTTGTTGCTGTTTTTTGCCACTCTATTGTCCTCAGAACACCAATCAAGCCCTGCCTTAGAGGACTGAGGCTTCTATAGCTGGGTAGATAACCAGAATGTTAGTTAATTTTAACTGCATCCTATATCCGATGAATAAAATGTTTGGAGGGCCCCAGATATTCTGGGGGAAGGAACTTTTGGAGTGAGACCTAAGATTGTTCTCTCAATACAATGTATCTTCCAAATATAAATATGGAGAGGAGGGAACATCTTGCCTAGTTTAGGCTGGCTAGGACAGTCCCACCTTTGCTACTCTGTATCTTAGGCCCTTCCATTCTTTGCCAAGCTAAACTGCAATGTAAAACATGGGGATGGGGAAACTGGGTTAGGATGAACTACTTAGAAGGGCGTTTGCTTTAAGTGCTCCTTCTGGCTCTCCCTCCTGAGTTTTTACTGCTATGATCAGATTTAATCCTAGAAATTTTGCCCTTATTTCCTTTCTGTTTTCAGACAACCTCATCAGCCTTGAAAGGTGCCATTCAGTTAGGCATTACTCACACTGTAGGGAGTCTGAGTACCAAACCAGAGCGGGATGTCCTCATGCAAGACTTTTACGTGGTGGAGAGTATCTTCTTCCCCAGGTAAAGAGGTTAATGTTCAGGACAATGTCCTGGAAAGTGTGCCTTTTCATATTAACCTCAGGCCACTTTGAGGGGTTTGGGTCTAATTTAGGCATGTGTCCAATTCTTAACCTGATTTTAATCAGGGTGATATGGGACACTAGAATGTGGAGAATAGATGCTGTCCTTTGGATGTTTCCAGGAGCCTCTGGCCTAAAGAGCCCTAAAAAACAAAAACAAAAAAAACAATTCCATGCGTGTGCTTATGTTTTCATCCCCATGTTGTGCTTTTTTTAAAAAAATACATTTTTTTTTTAAATTACTGATTTCAGAGAGGAAGGGAGAGGGAGAGAGAAAAATAGAAACATCAGTGATGAGAGAGGATCACTGATCAGCTGCCTCCTGCATGCCCCACACTGGGACCAGGCCTGCAACCCCAACATGGGTCCTTTACTGGAATCTAATCTGGGACCCTTCGGTCCGCAGGCCGATGCTCTATCCACTAAGCCAAACGGGCTAGCATCCCGTGTTGTGCTTTTGTCCCACTAAGTAACTGACTCATCTAATCCCTCTGGTTCGATCAGAAGGGATGTATTGACTCTGCCTCTGGGTGACTCCCAGGGTGGACTCCCTGGATAACAGGGACTGGTAATTTATGGCTTCTTCTACTTAACCCCACAGTGAAGGGAGCAACCTGACCCCTGCTCATCACTACAATGACTTTCGGTTCAAAACCTACGCACCTGTTGCTTTCCGCTACTTTCGAGAATTATTTGGTATCCGGCCTGATGATTACTTGGTAAGCTTCCGCATCTCGTGACCCAGTGACTCCTATATTGGAGCCCCCTCACTCCATAGTCTTACTCTAGTTTTCTTTTGGAACAGAATTTCATCTGCAGTTGATTTCTGGTTGGGCAGGTCCTGGTATTTCTGAATTCTTGTTCTCTTCTCTTTGGGGCTCAGTATTCCCTCTGCAGTGAGCCGCTGATTGAACTCTGCAATTCTGGGGCTAGTGGTTCCCTCTTCTACGTGTCCAGTGATGACGAATTCATCATTAAAACAGTCCAGCATAAAGAGGCGGAGTTTCTACAGAAGCTGCTTCCAGGATACTACATGGTGAGGTAAAGAGGAGCACTGGCCACCTGTGCTGCCCTCTTTACTCCTGGACAGGGTGGGGAGGCTGTCTTCTGTGGGGCAAAACAATGTCACCACTTTTAAATATATATTATTATTGATTTCAGAGAAGAAGGGAGAGATATAGAAATATCACAGATGAGATAATCATTAATTGACTGCCTCCTACACGCCCCACACTGGGGATCAAGCTCCTAACCCGGGCATGTGCCCTGACCCGGAATTAAACTGTGACCTTCTGGTTCATAGGTTGACTCTCCACCACTGAGCCATGCCAGCCAGGCTGTCCTATTTTAAGTGTTATTTGGCTTAGACTGTCCTATCCAAAGGCAAGATTAAATGATGGCCCTGGCCAGGTAGCTCAGTTGCTTAGAGTGTCATACTGATATGTCCAGGTTGAAGGTTCTATCCCTAATCAGGGCACATACAAGAATCAACCAATGAATGCATAAATAACTGGGACAAACTGTAACAACAAATATTTCTCTCTCTCTTCAAATAAATAAATAAAATAATGTTTAAAAATTTTTTTAAAAGGATGCAATGATGATTTTGCCTCCTATTCTTAGCTCAGCCTCCTACATTGGAGAATGGGGTTGTTTACTTCCCTTGACAGTAGTCTATCTGATCTTACTCGACTGATTGCTCTTGGGGATTCTGGAGAAATTAGGAGACTCACCAAGGACTAAGAGTTAAGACTTTTTCAATGCTGTGTTCTCGTCAACCTCTCTTAAAGGAATATACTCATCATACATTCAGTATCCTAACTGATTACTATATTGGAGAGTCTGATCCCATCATTAAATGCATTGGGAAATTTCAAACAAATACGGTATATGGTTTTTGGTTATGGGCAGACAGATTGTACTTGAATCCCAAGTAATAGATGAATGAAGGTGGGTGGCAGCTTTTGCCCTTGAATTTCACTGAAAGTCAGCTAAGTTACTCTCCTACTTTTTGTTTTCGCGCCCTTAGAACCTCAACCAGAACCCTCGGACTTTGCTGCCTAAATTCTATGGACTGTACTGTGTGCAGGCAGGTGGTAAGAATATTCGAATTGTGGTAATGAATAACCTCTTACCACGGTCAGTCAAGATGCATATCAAATATGACCTCAAGGGTCCTCTCTGTGTCTCCTCCCCCATCTGGCTTTATTTCCTTCTCTATGTACTCTGGGCTTCATAATCATACAGTCTTATTTTCATACCAGCACCATCATTCCTCAGATCTTGGTCCTGCCTGCCAAATCTAAATTTATATCTTGGAAGCTGGCTACTCATACAGCTATGTGTACTGGCATCTCTGTAGATGTATGATATCCGTCTCCACCTGGGCCTTCAGTTTCCCTCATCAATCCATTTTTTGTTTCTCTCAGAGAGTTCAGATAATTGACACTCTCTTCAAATCACCTTTTAAAAATACATATTTTTATTGATTGCAGAGAGGAAGTGAGAGGGAGAGAGATATAGAAACATCAATGATGAAAGAGAATCATAGATTGGCTGCCTCCTGCACGTCCCCTACTGGGGATCTAGCCTGAAACCAGGAATCAAACCATGAGAACCTGGTTCATAGGTCAATGCTCAACCACTGAGCCACATCAGCTGGACTAAACCACTTTTTTTGTCATTTAAAACAAATTAAATTTATTGGGGTAACAATTAATAATAGAATATAAATTTCAGATGTATAACTTTATAATACGACATTTATACAGTCTATTATGTGCTTACTACCTGAATCTGGTCTCCTTCTGTCACCGTGTATCTGACCCCCTTTCCCTTCTTTGCTCTCCCCCTCAACCCCTTTTCCTGCTGGTAACCACCTTGCTGTATCTATGAGTTTGTTTTTGTTTCTTTGTACGTTTGTCAAACCACTTGTTAACTTCCATCCCCCAGCCTTGTTCCTCAAGAAACCACCTCAGCCCTAACTGGTTTGGCTCAGTGGATGGAGCGCGGCCTGCGGACTGAAGGGCCCCAGGTTCGATTCCGGTCAAGGGCATGTACCTTGGTTGCGGGCACATCCCCAGTGGGGGGTGTGCAGGAGGCAGCTGGTTGATGTGTCTAGCTCTCTATCCCTCTCCCTTCCTCTCTGTAAAAAAATTAATAAAAATATATATTAAAAAAAAAGAAAAGAAACCACCTCAACTTCCTATTCCATTCCATCCCTTTGTCCTGCCCCATCACTAATTTATAAACCACCCTTAATCTCCTTTCTTAACCAACTTGGTGGCTTATTCCAGGTCAACCCCTTTTGTCCTCTAGATCCATTTCCTCCTATTTCTTTAAGATCATGCTTCATAACTTGCTTCCTTTTCCACCTTTGGCTTCAGCCTCTACTGACTATTTTCTTTGTACACACAAACAAGCTTACTTCTTCTACCTTAAAATTAGGAGGATTTTTTTCAATGTCTGCATTTAATGATGCTTATATTTCTTCTTTTTCTTTCTCTTTTCATATTTCTCAACTTACTGTGTCCTGGCTTTTGTTCTCATCACTTCAGTTGAACCACTCTCCCCATTGACTACAGAAATGCCAAATAGAAAGGACTTCTAGGTTTTGTTGAATTTTCTGAAGCATTTGACAGTTAACTATTTCCACTTTTTTAACATATCTTCTTTTGGTGATGTGAATACATATGTATCCATACATTGACTGAATCAGGAATATTCTTTTTTATATATATTTTATTGATTTTTTTACAGAGAGGAAGAGAGAGATAGAGAGTTAGAAACATCGATCAGCTGCCTCCTGCACATCTCCTACTGAGGATGTGCCCGCAACCCAGGTACATGCCCTTGACCGGAATCGAACCTGGGACCCCTCAGTCCGCAGGCCGACGCTCTATCCACTGAGCCAAACCGGTTTCGGCATCTCTCTGGTATTTTTTTCTCTAACTGGCTTTGTTTATTCTGCATCTATTTCAGGATAATGCCTATTTTATTTTATTTTTTTTAGTTTCGGCGGGATAATGCCTATTTTAGTTTGACTCCTTTGGTTGTAAGGACTAGGAACATAGTGAAACAAATGTTTTTTCCAAAGTATACATAAGAGTCAATCCTGTTCTCTTCATCCTTTATTCCATTCACCTACCTAAGTGGTTGAGGTACAGCACCAAAGTGAGCTCCTGGACTGGGGGGAATAAACCCTTTTTCACCCTGTTCTGGGTAGGGGACGAGTGGTGAGAACTATAGGATATGATCCAAGCTCCTTAATGCAACATATCAGACCTGTTATTGTCTTACCCCTGCCAGCCTCTCTAATCTGCCTCACCTCGCCTTTGTATTTTATGTTTTAGAAATACCAAATTATACCTTCCTGTACATAACATGCTGTTTCATGCCTCCAGACCTTGAAAAATTCTTTCCTTTATGTACTTAGACTTATTTTCTCTGTAATTTATCTTTCATAACCCTATGTATGTATTACTTCCTGACCTATAGACTGCTCCTCAATTATGTAAGCACTTCCATTGTACACATTAGACTGTATTTATTTTCACTTTTGTTTCTCTTCCTAGATTATAAGATTCTAGAGGACAGAAACTCTCTTAAGTATCTTTGTATTCCCCATTAATAAGCACAGTGCCTATAGATGGTAGGTATTCAGTAAATATGGAACTGAATTGAAGCTGATTGTATCAGGTCTTGCAACAGATCTGGTCTTTCACAAAGTATACTTTACCAGGCCCTCCTTGTGGATTCTTTACAGCACAGATATGTATTTCTTACTCCCTTGAGAATATAATGATGTTTTTGTGAAGAGAAAAAAGGAAAGAACAAAGGGTATCTTGTGAGCTAGGCAGTTGCCTATTTTGTGTTTACTCAAATGAAAGAAAGCTGAGGGGATACAAAGGAAGAGCAGCCAAGAAGGGGCTGATAGCTTTTCTCCAAGGACTAGGAGAAGAAAAGAATAATTCTGTGGTTAGCCCTAGAGGTTCACTATCAAGAATAATTGGACCAGAAAAGCTGTGAGGTCCTGAAAAAACTTCTCATGTCACCCAAGGCTCAGATCATGTTATTTCCTCCCATTAGGTGCTGCAGAGTTTCAAGATAATGGACTATAGCCTCCTGATGTCGATCCATAACATAGATCACGCACAACGAGAACCCTCAGCCCATGAAACACTATACTCAATTGATACACGCAAGCCAGCTCCCCAAAAGGCTCTCTATTCCACAGCCATGGAATCTATCCAGGGCGAGGCTCGGCGAGGCGGCACCATGGAGACTGAAGACCAGTGAGTGGGCTCAGGGTCATCAGGAAAGGAGAGCATAGGCCAATAGCATTTCTTCTTCAGGAAGGGACGCAGCTTCTGCGAAGGAGTAGTCTTGATTCAGCAGTTAAGCCAACAATGTTAATGCTTACAGATTATAGGATGAGCTTTCTGTTTTTAATTTTTTAAAAATATATTTTTATTGATTTCAGAGAGGAAGGGAGAGGGAGAGATAGAAACATCAATGATGAGAGAGAATCACTGGTTGGCTGCCTCCTGCATACCCCCAACTGTGGATCCAGCCCGCAACCCGGGCATATGCCCTTGACTGAGAATCTAACCTGGACCCTTCAGTCTGTAGGCCGTCGCTCTATACACTGAGCCAAACCAGCTAGGGCTATTTTTTTTTTTTAATTTATTGATTTTAGCCCTGGCTTGTGCCTCATTTGTTTGGGTGTTGTCCTATGCACCAAGAGGTTGCTGGTTCCATTCCTTGTCAGGGCACATGCCCAGGTTGCAATCTTTATCCCCTGTAGGGGGTATGCGGGAGGCAGCTGATCAGTGTTTCTCTCTCTCTGATGTTTCTAACTCTCTATCCCTCTCCCTTCCTCTCTGTAAAAAAATCAAATATATATATATCCCTCTCTCTCCCTTCTTCTCTAAAATCAATAAAAACATATATTTCTTAAAATTTATCAATTTTAAAGAAAGAAAAGGAGAGAAAGACATCAATTTGTTGTTCCACTTATTCATGTATTCACTGTTGGATTGTTATATGTGCCCTACCAGCGATCAAACCTTGGCTTATTGGGATTATGCTTTAACCAACTGAGCTACCTAGCCAGGGCCTAGAATAAGCTTTCTTAAGAGCCTAAAAGGAAAGGATGGTATCTTAAATTTGGGATTTGTAGTACACTTGGGAAGGAAAGCTATTCAAAATTAAAAGACTTGTTTTTAAAAGATCATTCAGAGTCTTAGACACGTCTGCAAATGATATTAGAATTTCATAAAAAGCAATTTATTACAGACTTATTTCCACCTATCTTACCATAATGTATCTATCAAGGATGTGTAGTTACTGAAGGGACCAGAGATGTTTTTTAGTTGGTTTCGGTTTTAAGGTATCCTTTAATATGACTCAAGAGTGTCTTAGTGAGCATAGATTTAACTATGAAAGCACTGATGGAAGGAGTTTAGAGTTAATTGAGTAAATATTCCCAAAATTGCTGAGTAAGTGATTTCAGATTCTCTTTGGTGGAATTGGGGTGGGAGTGGCAGGCTAGCGAGGTTTGGAGAGGATGAGGTTATAATACATACTCCAGAGTGGTCGGGTCAGAGGAAGTCTCTTACTCTTTCCTAGTTTATGGAAGATGGGACCATTATGTTTAGTTACCTGCTAGCCAAAAGTATATTTTTTAAAAAAAAATAAAAAGCCCAATT